AGTGACACACAACGTGAGTTATGCTCGATTTTTTGCCGATTTTTGACACACCACGCCAAAAAGGTTGCCCATCACTGCTTTAAGAAGATGTTGGATAGCCATTTGTCTGAAACGGTATAGGGTTTCCTGCCTAGGTAGGAGGTTGGACTAGAAGACCTCCAAGGTCCCTTCCAACTCTGCTATTGTATAAAACACCAAAATGGAGCAGCTACCTGGAATGGATGTGCATGTGAATCCACATCACTGACTCACACAGCTTGTTACTAGAGGCTTTCCTTTAGCAATTGTTGTGTTAGTTTTTGTCTTTATGAATTCTAAATTCATCCCAAGAGTAGCATGGGAATAAAAGAAGACACATCTGAACTGTGAGGAGACCAGATACACAGCAATTTTATCCAGCAAAGTATTTAAGTCTACCCATAAAAATGTACACAATAATTAAAGTCAGAATGAATTACACTATTGGCCACATGTAACTCAACTAATGAACCAAGGGGGATAGATTTTATTTTTACTTAATGCTATACTAATAAGTGTTTGTGAACCATGCAACTCACCATCTGAAAATATAAATCTTTACAGCAAGTCAGTTCTCTAAGAATCTATGTAGGTAGTTCTCTCTTAGCATCTCTTTGTTCAGTGTTTAAAGTTACAATAGTGCTGAAAAAATGGACTTGTGACCAATCTTTGAGCTTACAACCATTGTAGCACCTTTGTGGTCATGTAATAAAAATTCGACCCACTGTGCATTTACAACTGTCAACCCTGCACACCCTTCCTCCCCCGACATGACCTTCATTGTCCCGCCTGCCTTCCCTCTGCTAAGCTTACTACCCTGGCTACATGTGGGGAGACGCCATGGCTTTGGGGAGTCTTGCTGCCTTGCAGCTTTGGGGCTTTTTGCACCCTTATGTGCTTTCCCCACCTGACAGTAGCCAGACCCACCATGCCTCAACAGCCACTTGTAGACCTCACACATACTCCCCCAGCCCTGCTACACTCAGCCTGTACCTCACAACCACTCACACATCATCCTACATTTCCCCCCAGTCCCACTGCACTCAGCCCATGCCTTGCCAGCCAGCCACCCCCACTGTGCTGGTGTGATGCCTTGCTGGCCACCACAGATTTTTGTGCACCTTACTCCAGCCCCTCTGTGCTCACGGAGTACCTTGCCACCCACCTGTGCACCCTGAATAGCAAAACCAAGGACGAAAAGAGAAATGCATGTGTGTGGGCCAAGGAATATGGTTTAAAGGTCAAAGTTTAATACTGTACTTTAATATCTGATTGGTTTTTCTATCTTCATTTAACCATATCAGAAAGCCATTGAATAACTTCAATTCAAGTTCATATGAAAATGATGCCTCTGTCACACACTAATCCTCCCACAGTTCAGTTGTTCCACTGAAACTGATACGTCATGGGGAAGCTGTGGTCATGAGAAAGAAACACACACTTTGATGGGCTTAAGGATTGTTTCATATCATTGGCAAAGGGATGTAGCATTTGAGGCTAGAGATAATACAGCAGTACTTCTATTAAAACCACATTTTCTTAAAGCCAGGTTGCATCTAAGCTCAGTATGATTTGTGGGCACAAATTGGGTGCCATCAGTTTCTGGCTAAGCAGCAAATAAAATTATCTTGAGATGCAAGCACAGACTAGCTCACCCTATCCATATTGTGATCTTGGCCTAGAGCTGAATGATTTCATCTGGTACTGTTCATAGTTTTATGATACTTTTCTTAGCTTATATATTTTATCAGATCTTTTATTTCTGGAAACTAGAAAAACTGATTCTTCAAACAAAGCCTGCAGAGAATGACAAACCAATTGAAAAGCTGCATAGCATCTCTATAAGCACATAGGAATGAAATTTAATAGATCAGCTCAGAATATCAGAATATTGAGCAGTTATGGTTAGTAAGGAGGAATGCATCCATCTGGGATTTCAATCAATAAAAATTATAGAATTGGATTAGATTAGGTAAGGCTTCAAGAATTCTACATAATCTTTTTCTTCAAGGAGTGCCATACACATTTTTAAAATGAATATGTTTCCTCTTATAGACCCTGCACTAATAAAACCTAAAACTAGCCAGTACATCTTTAATCTTGATTCCATACAGTATCAAAGAAAGAACATTACAAAGGAATTTGGCTTAATGGTTAGATTTTAGATGCATTTATACGCATTACTGGGCAACAAAATGAAAAGGAGCTATACTTAAAAGCGTAATAAGATAAATGAGCAGAATTCTGAACAAAGAAGCATATGAGAAATAGTACAATCTTAAAGAATTAAGAAAACTGGGAAAAAATAGGCAAAACATTTAGTTGAAAAGTTGAAAAAATAATGGAAAGCACCTAGATTTGGGGAAAAATCCTGTCCTGAACTAATATCAAAAAGAGAACCAAAAATAGCAAACTGAGTCCTCAATCCAAATAACAATTTTCAAGGCAAAAAAAAGTATTGCCAAATAGGAGAAAGAAGACAAGCCCTACTTCTTATGTCATTTTTCTAACCAGGTAATCTGTTAGTCCAAATGATAAAGGCTCTATCAAACTAAACCTCTCTAACTATAACTCTAAATCAGTGGTGAGATTCAAATTTTTTTTACTACTGGTTCTGTGGGTGTGTCTTTGTGGGAGTGGTGTGGCTTTGTCCGCCTGGCAGGGGAAGGTTACTTGCAAAATCTCCATTCCCTCCCCATCCCACTAACCTGCTTTCCAGCTCCGTTCTCCTGTTCAGGGCAACAAAAGAAACGGGGGGGGCAGCGGGGATGGGGGCAGCCTATTTGCCGGTTTTCCAAACAATTCAAGATTTCTTCTACCAGTTCTCCAGAACCTGTCAGAACTGGCTGAATACCACCTCTGCTCTAAATGACTAAATTTTAGTCATTTTTCCACATTTTATTGTTGAGCGATTTTAAGAAGGCATATAGTCCAGAGCAAAACCTGTACCACACCCACTCTTATTTCACGTATTCAAACCAGATGTGGATTGCTGCCGGTTCAGCCAGGTTTGACCAAACCGATAGTGGAATTCAGGCCTGGATCACAGAACCGGCAGTGACCCAGGCCTGCTACACACCCAAACCGGTTCCCTCGCTACCGCTTGGC